TCTTTCCGCATGCGTCACTGTGAATGGGGTCGAGAAGCCGGTGCCGGTCAAGGCCCGCAACGCGTTCGGGAACACGGCAGCACAAGTTACAAAGCACGCGGGGTGCAAGTCATTGCTTTCAAAGGCTGTGGAGGCCGCGGCGGATGACCGGCGCTTCCTCTGCAGCAGCTCCGGCCTCTTTGTTGGCAGCAGAGAGTCGTGTGCAGTCACTGTCGTTGATCGGGTCTCCGCGCCCTCTCAGCGCCCAGTGCGGTACTCAACAGAGTGCGCCTCCAAGATTCGCGCAGCGGAGGCGGCTCTGGAGGCTGCGACTGCGGCCATGGACAAGCCGGAGGCTTTGCAAAGCGCGCTGGACGCTGCCAACGCCAGCGGCGCATCAGTGCATCTCATCGATGCCGGCACTGCGGCGTTACTTCGGCTGGAGGCGCAGCTTGCGCTCGAGGAGCAAGTGATCACCGTGAATCGGCTGCGTCCGCTCGAGTCGCGATCGCCGCTCAAGCCACTGTCTTCCTGCCTCAAGCTGTGTAGGGAGCGAGAGAGTCTGCCGTCGCTCATCGAGCAGGGAGAGCAGGTGTTGCGATCCGTCGACGCCGAGCTGGCGCTCCAAGAGTGCACTCACGCGAGCTCGAGCCTACGACTCACGGATGCTCACGTGACCGATGGCGACGAGGGTGACGAGCTCATCCTCCCAAGCCACACTTTTGCCGTGGTGGCAGACGCCGGCATTGCGTCTCTCGAAGGGCTCATCGCTGCAGCGCGGGCGGCAGGGGCGCTCGACGAGGTGTTGCGCGCGGGTGACTCGGCTCTCTCGATGCTGATGGCCGAGTCGGAGCTGCGCCACGCCCTCGACGAGCCGCGGCTGGAGGAGGCTGAGGCGGAGGCGGCGGGAGGGGAGACGAGCTGGCTGCACCCCGACGGACAGAAGAGCACATCCCCGCTGGAGAGGCTCGAGCTGCAGTGCGGCGCGTTGGCAGCGGCGCTGGAAAAAAGCGAGGTGCTTGGGACAGCCGAGACAGTGCTCGAGGCAGCAAGGGCGAAGCAAGCGTCGCTGCAGGAGCTGCTCAAGCAGGAGGTGGCAGCAGAGGAAACGCGAGTCGCCAAGGCGGCGGCGGCTGCCGCCAAGAAGGCCAAGAAGAAGTGATGCCGCGGGGAGGGGGGGCAAGCCCTTTCGCGCGTGTGTATGTGAGGAGGCACTGTGGGCGGCGACGCACGACGGACAAGCGCGCCAGAACCGCGCGCCCGCGGGCCCCGCGCGCCTCGAGGTCGCGAGCCGGGCGTGGCGGCGTCGTCGCGGATCAACGTCCGCGCACACATCGCATTGGGCATTGGGAATTCGACGAGAGTTTAAGAATGTTTTCGCATAGGAGGATATCTAGCGCGAATTCACACACTCCAGTCACCACCCCATGCACCACCGCCCCCTACACGCGAGAGGGGATGTGACAGTAGTCACACAACGACTCGTGCTGCTCTCGCCAACGGACAGGGAGCGGAACGCTGCACACCGCGCCACAAACAGCAGTCCGAATCTTGAGTGCACGAGACGCTCCAATTACGATTACGCTCTCCGGACGGCCACACCCCGAAGCGCGCGACTCCTCCTCCTATCACGCCTCTTCCTCCTCCTCGGCGTCGTCAAAGCGGCCGTCGGCCGAGCTGTTGAGCAGGTCGTCGTACCGATCGAGCGCAGCCGCCTGCACGCGGGAAGGGGTGGGGCCTCAAGGGGCGGCCGTGCGGGCACGGCGGCGGGCGGCGCCCTCCTGCTGCAGCGTCATCGACGAGAGCGCGTCCGGGCTCGTGAAGAGCACCCCGTCGCCAGGCATCATCCCCTCCTCGCCCTCCTCGCCCTCCTCGCTCTCTTCGTCCGCGGGGTCGGGGTTCAGAGCAGCGCACTCGCTCATCGCCGCGTAGATGCGCTCGAGCGCGTCGCCGCCGGCCGCAGCCTCAGAGGCCTCGCCCGCAGGCACGAGTCGGATGTCCTCCCAGCCCGCCTCCTCCTCGCCCTCGCCCTCCGACTCGTCGTCGCCCTCCTCGTGCGCAGCTTCCGCGGCCTCGCCATTGCCATTCACGAGACCCTCGGCGGAGCCGCCGCCGTTGGCGACGCGAGTGCGCTTTGCGCCTCGCGGTTGCGGTGTCGTCTGCGCGGAAGCCAGCTCGCCGATGTTCTGCTCTGGGTCGAGCTGCATGAAGAGGCAGGCGTGCGGGAAGGCGCTCGTGTCGCGGCTCACTGCGTGCATCACGATGGCCGGGTAGAAGAGCGAGAATCCTGACAGGCCTCGCGCGCCAGGCGCTTCTGGCACCCAGACTACACGGCGAGTGGTGACGAGCAGCTCGCCCGTGCCGTCGCACCGCTCGTTGATGTAGAGGTGGGTGCGCTCGCGCACGCGCACCTCCTCCCCCTCCTCGAGCGAGACGGCGCCGGACTCGGTCACAGAGGGCATGAGGCTGTATGCGCGGCGGGACTCGAGGATGTCAAAAGAATAACGCCACGACTCAGCGGAGCTGGGACTGGCGCTAAGACATTTTGAACGAGTGGGCGGGCAGGCTGTCTGTTTACAGGCGCCGTCCGCCCGCGCGCGCGCCGACCCAACTCCGAGCACGCTCGCTCGCCGCTGGGCGGCGCGCGTCCACACTGCGTCGGCAACACGACGCAGGAGCTCGCTCACTGCTGCTGCGGCGGCGGCAGCGACGGCGACTGCGAGCTGACGGCTGACGGCTGTACGGCTGTACGGCTGACGGCTGGCGGCTGGCGGCTGCGGCGAACGGCGACGGCTCGGTTCGCGTTCGCCCCGCGACGGTGCGACTGAGCCTGCCGCGCTCGATCTGGGAGCCACTCGGCGCCAGTTCGAGCGGCGGTCGGCTCGGCCACTGCGGGTGCGACGCATGATAGAGCTGCTGGGCGCCGCATCGTGTACTACCGACCCACGCCAAGGCGCGGGGCGGTGGTGCTCGCCGGCGCTCGCGGTGCTTCGGTGCTCGAGCGCGCTCAACATTGTGGTCGTTCAGGGCGGCTCGCACAGCGCCCGCAGGCACACACACACACACACACACACACACACACACACACACACACACACACACACACACACACACACACACACACACACACACACACACACACACACACACACACAGCCCCTTCCCCTTCCCCTTCAAGGGCGAGGACACGCGCAGGGGCCGCACCTCTAGCGAAGCCCACAGAGTGGGAGACTCCTATCACCGCCCTGCCACCCACGTGAGCCTTTTGGCCGCCTCTGTCAGTGTGCCCGTGGTAGTGAGAGACTGCTGGTGAGAAGCCGGAGGAAGGTCGCTAGTCGAGAGAGATCGCCAGTGGAATAGGGAGTCCACCGTGCTGCGAGCCTGTCGCTGTCCCTTGTCAGGAGCAGGTGAGAACTAGGAGAGCGCAACCAGTAGGAGGCCCGCGCCTGCCCCCGTGCCGCCGGGTGCAACCTGTCCTATACGAGAGAGGAATCCCTGGGACCCTGTCGTGTGGGTGAACCCTGCCCTGCGCTGCTTTCATCCCAAAGGACCAGCCGGTGACTGGCCGCTGGGGCACTGCCGGGTGCGCGCCGGAACTCCTCTGTGCCAGCTTGCAACTGCTGAGCCCAAACCACGGCCACAGGTACATGGCGCCCGAGGTGATCCGCGGCGATGGCTACGGACCGGCGGTCGACTCCTTCTCTCTCGGCGCGCCCCTCCTCGCGCTCCTCGCTGTCCACTCCCGTCCTTGACGCCGACCATCACTCGCCCCAGGTGTGCTCCTGTTCATCCTCCTCGGCGGCTACAACCCATTCGACCCGGGCGGCGACTCTGCCGACCCTGTCATCGAAAAGAGGGTCCTCAGTAATCAGTGGGCGTTTGATCCCGAATGCTTCGGCAGCGTGTCAAAGGAGGCGAAAGACCTCATCACCAAGCTGCTTTCAACCGCGCCCGAGAGGCGCCCCACCTCGAGCGACCTGTTGGCCAATAAATGGGTGATGGGAAACGCGTCAGCAGCGCCGCTGCCCGCTTCGGACAAGAGGCTCAAGATGTTCAACGACTTGCGCCGCTCATGGCGCGCCGCGATCGGCGCCATTGAGCTCATTACCATCCTGCCGACCGCCGCGGACAAGGACCAGTTGAAGCTGCGCACCTTCCAGAGCACCAACCCGGACTATGACCCGAAGAAACCGCTCAGTCCAGATGCCCTCGCAGAGCTCCGCGTCTCGTTCGACTCGTTCGACACGGCCAACAGCGGGACCATCTCGATGGCGGAGCTCCTCTCCAAATTCAAAGCGCTCGGCGCCAGCGAGGAGGAGGCGAACGGGGTGATGGAGCTCATCGACTCGCACCACACCGGCGACATAAGCTTCGACGAGTTTGCTAGCGCAATCGGGCCTCTGATGGCATCCCGAAAGTCGAGCGCCCTCAAGCGAGCATTCGACCGATTCGACACCGACGGCTCGGGGAAGATTGACAGGAACGAGCTCCGAAGCATGCTCGTCAAGCTCGGCTGGAATGCGGACGACACGAAAGTGGACGAGATGATGCGTATAGCAGACCAGACCGGAGACGGTCAAATATCCTTCGATGAGTTCAAGACGCTGCTGGATTGCGAGGCCGCACAGAAGCGCATGGATAGCAAGACGGCCTCTTGACCGAGAGAACTATAAACCTGTGTATGTGGCCCCCGCACGATGCAGCCTGCATGACACCTTTTTGGCACCCGGGGCCCCCTCTGGCGGCCGTGGCCCGGGGCGTCCCTCCTGGCAGTGTTGCTTTGCTCTGAAGGGGGAGCTCTTGGTCCGGGTGCGTGTGACATGTTTGGTCTTCGAATCTCTCTTTTTTAAGATTTTCATATACAACAAAAGCTTGTGCGCGGCGCGCGCCGCTCTCCGCGTGTGTGGCTGCCGCCGCCCGACGCGGCCGTGGCGCCGTGCGCGGCACTTCGCGCGGCGGCGGGGCGCGACAAAACTCAAAGGCAGGGACAGAGGAGAAAGGCAGCGCCCACGCATCTTCAGCGCAGCATCAACACGACAAGGTGTCGGACGCTTGCGCCGTCAACCGTAGATAGACGGAGGTGCAAGCGAGAGCGCACACCAATGGGGATCAAAAGTCGTACAGCCCTGGTCCGGCGCCGGCGCCGCTCGCGCTCGGAGCGCCTTTGCGCGGGCCTCTGCTGCCGCCGCCGCCGCCGCCGCCGCCGCCGAGCGCCGCCATCTTCTCGAGCGCAGCCGGCACCTTCTGGCCGGCGTCCCGGAGGATGGCGACGAGCGGCGCCGCAACCTTGATGTCGGCGGAGGTGATGAAGGAGACGGCGATGCCTTTCGAGCCGGCGCGGCCGGTGCGGCCGATGCGGTGGATGTAGTCCTCGATTCGCGGCGGGAACTCGAAGTTGATGACCATGCGGACGTCCTTGATGTCGAGGCCGCGCGCGGCGACGTCCGTCGCGACGAGGATGGGCGCGCGGCCCGAGCGGAAGTCGGCGAGCATCCGCTCTCTCTCCCGCTGCTCCTTGTCGCCGTGCATCGCGTTGCAGCCGATCTGGCGCGAGAGGGCGCGCTGCAGCGCGTCGCACGAGCGCTTGGTGGAGCAGAAGATGAGTACGCGCCTGAGGGCTCGGCGGCGGCCGGGGTCGGCAGGGCAGAGGCGGCCGGCGAGGGGAGGCTGGCGGCGGCGGCGCACGAGGCGGCGGGCAGCGTGTTGATCTGCGAGATGAGGTGCACGTCCTTCTCGCGCCCCTCGGAGACCGTGATGATGCGCTGCTCGACGTCGCGGTTGGCGGTAAGCTTCTCCTCGGCGCCGCCAATCATCACCTGCGGCGCTGCGCGGCTCTCTGGGTATGGTATGGAGACCTCCCTGCGCTGCGCGGCTCGGCGACACGCACACCCCACTGCTCGCTGCGCCTCCTCCTCCTGCCCGGCGGCGGCTGGCACGGCTTCTCCGGTCCATCTCCGGTCCATCTCCGGGCTACCTCTCAGCTCTCTCCGGCGGCGCCTGGCACGGCTCTCGCTGGAACTCGGAGGCGAGCCGTCGCACCTCGCGCGGCCAAGTCGCCTGCAGAGCTCTCAACAGGGGTCAGGGAGGGTGCCGCCTGCGGCGCCGCCCCTCGCGCGGAGCAGGCCGCCGTGTACATGAGCGACTGGTACCCGCGCGGCACGCGCGCCATGATGGTCCGGATCTGCGGCTCGAAGCCCATGTCGAGCATCCGGTCCGCCTGCTCGCAGGTGGCGGCTGGGGGGCGCGGCTCACGGCCTCGACGGGCGCGCGTCTCGGGCCCCGGCGTGCCTCGTCCATCACCACGTACTTGACCTCGCTCAGCCGCACCTGCGGGACGTGTCATGGACGTGTCATGGACGTGTCCAGCGCCACCTACTCGCATCGGCCGCACCTGGCCCGACTCGAGAAAGTCGTTGAGGCGGCCGGGGGTGCAGATGATCAGCAGCGCGCCTGCGGGGCGTGCCGCGGGGCGAGCCGTCGGAGGGTGTGCCGCGGACGCGTGCCGTGGACGTGTCGTGGACGTGTCGTGGACGTGTCGTGGACGTGTCGTGGGCGTGTGGTGCACGCGTCGCGGGGCTCGGGTTGGGGCAGCAGCCGCGCTCCCCGACGCAGCTCCGCGAGTTGCCCTCCCTTGGGCGCGCCGCCGTACAGGCAGACAGAGCGGATGCCGGAGGAGCGGCCGAAGCGCTCGCACTCCGACTGAATCTGCGTCGCCAGCTCGCGCGTCGGCGCCATCACCAGCGCGAATGGGTCGGGAGAGTTGCGCCGGCCGCCGCCGAGGATCTGCACAAAGGCAGGCGCGAGGAAGGCGAGGGTCTTGCCGCTGCCCGTCTTGGCGATGCCGACGACATCGCGGCCCTGCATCGCGGGCGCCCACGAGGCCGCCTGGATCGGGCTCGGGCGCGCAAAGCCGGCGCGCTCGATCTCGCTCATCATGGACGCCGGAAGCCGGGCGGCGGCAAAGGTGAGCAGCGGCGGCGGGCAGCCGGGCGAGAGGGTGACCTCGTTGTCACGGAGCCAAGCGGCTGCCTCGCTGCCGTCGCCACTCGCCGCCGCACTCGCGCCGCCACCGCCGCCGCCACCGCCGCCGCCGCCGCCGCCGCCGCCGCCGCCGCCGCCGCCGCCGCCGCCGCCGCCTCCACTGCTGCCGCCACCGCCACCGCCACTGCCGCCGCCGCCGCCGCCGCCGATACTGCCGCTCACCGCAGGCGCGGGGCGGTCCCAGGACACCTCGTCGGTTTTAGTGTTCCAGAAGTAGACCTTTCCACTCGCTTCGTCGGCCACCTCCTCCCAGTCGGGGGGCAGCGCAGAAGCCATGCCGCACCCGGACAGCGCGGACGAATTGTTGGGGTAGCGGTTGTGCTCGTGCCCTGCCCCTCGCGCCACCGCGCTCCCTGCCCTCGCCTTTTGCAAAATCCTGCCGCATGAGCGTTTGTTTTGTCTGTCCTCGACCCAGCCTGGAGTTTCTTTTTCCCCTTTTTTCTTGGGTCTTTAATGCGATTCTCCTTTCTGCTGTAGCCCCAGCCACCGCGTTTGTTCTTTTGAAAGCTGCACGGCGGAGTCTGCTGACCGTGTCTCCTGACCAAATGCTGTCGCTGACGCTGACCGCCGCGCAGCTCGCCCTCGTCTCGAGCTTTATCGCCGCGCCTCGCTCTCGCGAAGGGAAGCTCGTCTCGCGAGCGGCGTTGTGTCTCGCAAGCGCCGGCGATCGCCTGCCTCTCCTCGACCCGCTCTCAGACGAGCTTCCCTTCCCATTCCCGACGCCGCCGCTACCCGGCGCGACGGAGCAACGGGAGGTGCTCCGTTTCACCTTTGACCGGCCCGTTTACCGGCGGCTCTGCCAGGCGGCCGAGGAGGCCGAGGAGAGGCTGCTCGGCATGTGCGTGCAGGCGGGTCAGGCGCCGCTGGCCGCCACGCTATCGCTCACGCCGCGTGGATTGGCGACGGAGGGCGCGGTGGGCGTCGCCGTGCGGCTGCTCGACCTGCAGACGCCGCAGCCCGGCGAGCAGCGCGCGCTCCTCAATCGCGACGGCATCGAGCCGCCCACGACAGCGAGGGTCGAGGCCGCGTTTCGCTTCCGTGTCGATGCAATAGTCTCCACCTTCCCCTTCGCGTCCGGCACGGTGACTCCATTTGGCGACGCGCCGCCCGCGGACGCCGCCGAGGCGGGGCGGGCGGCGGCGCTAGAGGCGGAGGTCGAGGAGGCGCTGGGAGAGCTGTGCGGCGACACGCCGGAGGAAGAGGTGGGCTCTCTGGCGAGCCTGCTGCGGGCGCACCGGCTTCGCGTCGAGCGTGGCGAGTACCCGAGTCAGGCGGCGCGGTGGGAGCACTTCTCGCTCTCGCTCTGCGCTCTCCTCGCGCTCGACCACGCGGACGCCGTCGCGGCGGTCGCGAGCACGGCAGCGTCGGAGCGGCTCGAGCTGCTCCTTCGCCACCTGCGCGAGCTGCAGGCCGGCGCGCCGACGCCGCGCGGATCGGGCGCCGCCGGCTTTCCAGAGGCGGTGCGCGCGGTGCTGAGTGGCGGCAGCTTTTCGCCCATCGACATCCCGCTCCGGGGCGACGCGGCCGAGCCGCCGACCGAGCTGCCGGACGGCGCGCGGCTGGAGTACTGGTGGAATGAAGAGTGGGGGTGGTGCGCCGCGACGGTCGTGCGCAGGCTCCGAGTCGGCGAGGGCGACAGCGCCGCCATCGTACACACGCTCTGCTTTGACTCTGACGGCTCGTGGGAGGACTGCGCGCTGGACTTTTCGGACGGGGGGCGCCGCTGGCGACCGCTGCAGTCGCCGACATGAACACGATGTTGGAGAGCTTATACCTTGAGATTGTGCTGTTCCTCTAGAAAAAAAGAAACAAACGTTCGCACCGATTCCTTTCTGTTCTCTTTTTTACCCACCTCACAGTACTCAGTAGAGAGGTGGTCCGTTTTTATTTATGACCGCGCAAGATATAAAGGGTGGGGGCTAAGGGCTCTGCCCGCAAGGCGCCCGCGTCTCGCAGACGCGGTACCATTGACAAATCTGCAATATACCCCCACACGAACAAATAGCAAAATCCGAATACCGTGCGCAAATCCGACGATGTGAGCCGTGGACGGGGGCAAGCCTTTCAGCTGGTGCCAAGACATCCGTAAAATTGAAGCCAAGAACGCGCTTTCGGAGCAACTGAGGGATAGCCGCTGATCGAGCCCAGCGTGCCCGCGGCCGCCTCCCGCGCAGCACCGCCGCTGGGGACGACACGCTGCGGAATCGGATCGAGCCCATGCACCGGGCAAAGAAGGACGCTGCAGAAGCGGCTGGAGAGGCAGCCGGCGTCTGCCGTCACAACGAGTCCCAGCACTGGTTGGACATGCGCGTCGGCTCGCCCGAGGACTGCTGTCGCGACCCTCCCGTCGTGCCGCAGCATCCGACGAGCTCTGCAACCGAGGAGAGTGAGGGTGCGCCTCCCCTCACTGCTGGCCTGGCTGCGCACCGCCCCACAAAGCACCTCCTCGAGCATCTCTACAAGAAAAGTACCAGTCAAAGCCCGACCTTCTCCAAGTCGTCAACGCGCCCGGCGGCTCCGGCAAGACTTTAGCCTTGGCCACCCTCCTTGCGGAGCAGGAGGAGATCCGCTCTCGGTCGGCAACGTGGCAGCTAGTCGCGGGACTCGGTAGTTGTGACCCCCCTGAGTGAGGACAGGAGAGAGAGAGCTTTTGTGGTGTTGGTGTACGCAATAACGGGACAGGGTAGTCGTTCTCTCTAGCTCCCCTTCTAGCTCTTAGCATGAGCTGCGCCCTTTGTCCGACTTCTTTTGCGCAGCAACACCTTAAACTTTTAGGCCCTCCAAATTCGGGTCGGAGCGTAGCGGAGTGGGCGGCCCCGAGTTTGAGAAAGGGCGACGGACGCTTGCGTCCTAGCCTCCAACAACGCCTCCCCGGCGCAGAGGGGCCCCCGGAGGAATGCTCAACCGCTCCTTCCACGCCGCTTGCGGCGGTCCTATTCCCAGCTCCGCTAATAAAATAAATAAATCAAACGGACACACCAAACAAGGGGTGGGAGAAGGACAGGGTCCCCACCTGCACGAGCATCGCATTTTTATTTATTTATTCCTTTTTGTAAATCCTTTTCGCGAGGCTGTGCTGTAAAAAGTGTAACTGCTGAAGGTGAGCGATGGCGATCGCCCATCCGGAGCCGGCAGGTTCGATCGTGAATGCGGTTTTTGCTGTCGGGTGGCAAATTGCCCGTGGCGAAGGGCCGGGTGCACAGCCCGTGGATGCACGCTTCTTCAATCACGTGCGGCACCTTTCCGAGCGTTGCAACTCGGTCGATGACTGGCAGCAGCTGCACACAGTCCTGCTCAGCGTTGCCGCCGAGAGGAGCGGCTGGGACCGCCTCGGTCAGCGAGGCGGAGCTCGCGGAGGTTGGCGAACGGCGCCAGCAGCGGCGATGCCTGGAGCTCGACCGGCACAAGTGTAGCCGCGACTGGCTCCGCCGAGGGCGTCTGAGTCAGAGGACTACTGTCGGCAGCTGCATCCAATGGCAGCGGTGCAACGAGCGCCGTTCCAATGATCATGGGAGAGGGCTGCCTGCTGAGTGGTCGCGTCCCCGACGGCTCTTGGCGCGGCATGCGCACCGTGTGGCCACTCACAATGGTCTCATCGTCGCTCATCCGCTGCGGCGGGGGGCTACTGCGATGCACGCCGCGGCGGGGGGCTACTGCGTGCAGTATAGCTGACGCTGACGGTGCACACGGGCGCGCTCTCGACGTTGCCCAAAGTGTCGGTATGCACACGATCCAACACCGAGAGCGCGCGCGCGCGCGCGGCGCGCCCTCTTTCACGCACGGCCGACTTCGTTTCTCGACTTTCAGATTTTTTCTTTTTTCAGCCGAACATAGGCAATTGCGACTCCGAAGGGTTCCTTGGGGTTTAGTGCACCACTTAACCGATCGCCTGCGAAGAGCACGACGCTCAGCGGGCGCATGCAAATACTTCGTATTTCTCTTATCGCACACGGTTACGCAACGGGCTTTGCGACGACGGGCCATGCCGACGCCTGAGTCTTCCCCGGGCGTCGTCGAGGTCCTCGTGTTGTCTAACGACCCGCATGAGCACTTCGTGCTTCGGCTTCGTCCCACCGCCTCTATCGACGAGCTCAAGGCTTCGCTCCGTCGCCGATGTGGCAGCTCGGCGCACCAAATGCGGATTCTCTCCGAGAACGGGACACGCGAGTTGGCTGACAAGTCCACACTTTCGCAAAATGGGCTCGACGCTCCCGAGCCGACTGCGGTACGTCTTGAGCTGTGTGAGGCCTCGACCGCCAGCGGCAAGACCTGGGCGAGCCTCGCTGCGGAGTGGGGCGCCAAAGCGTCACACTTCTTGGGCCTCTCGATTTTGCAAAGGCCAAGTGATGCCGAAGCCGCCGCGGTGAGAATTCAGAGCCAAGCACGTCGAAGGTTAGAGGTTGGTCGAGCTTTTGCACTGGCGCTGCAATGCGTCTGCGAGTCGACAGAGGCCAGGGCGGCGAGGCGCATACAGCAGGCGGCAAGGTCACGCATGTGTGGGCGATGCAATGGCGGCGTGGTGCAGTCACAGCGTTCGTGGATTGAGCAGCAGATGCGAGACGACTCTTTGCCGAAGAGCCCCTTTGAGGAGCCGATTGTCATCGGCCTGCTCGAAAAGCAAACCCGATTCAAAGCGATGTGCGGAGGCCTGCAGTTCATCCTCTGGCAGCCTCGGTTTGTGTTCGTGACCCCCACAGAGCTATGCTACCAGCGCATCGACCACCGCACCCGTTCGCCGCGCGGCAAGCTGACGCGGGTGCCGCTTGACGCGCTGCGCTGTATTCACGTGCTCGACGGCGCACCCACGGTGCTAGTGCTAGAGCACAAGGGCGCCGCGCCCACAGCCTTCCGCTTCAACGCGCCCTCCGCGTGCGTGTCGTGGTGCGAAGCTCTCTGCGCGGCTGCCGGATGCTCCGCGGCGCAACGATGCGCGTCGCCGCCGGCATCAAGTACGTTGTCCTAGTGTGTCCGTGAGGTGTGCGATTTCTTCCTTGAGGAAAGTTATTTTCCTAAAAGAAAGTCGATCGGGCGGAAGTGCTCAGTGCGGTAGATGGTCAGCTCGAGGCGCGTGAGCCGGACTTGTGAGCCGGACCACCCCCTCTTGTTTCCTGCGTTGTTGAGCCAGGACTCAACATACTCGGGCTGTCGCCGTCCCAAACTGTCACTCCCCTTTCTCCCCGGGCCGGGGTGGGGCGCGCGCGGGGGCGGCGGGTGTGCGGGATGTCTGTGAGCCCGAGAGCGATATGCCATGTCCGCCTTGCGTTGTTTTCAATACACCCAGGGGACGCCAGCTGGCTGGAGAGCTCGTCCACAGCCTAGAGATGCTGTACGACATCATCGAGCGACCCGAGGGCGGCGGCAGCAGCGCCTACAAGGGAGCAGTCAAACAGGCGCTCGACGTCGCCGCGGCGCTCACCACGGCGGGCAATAACCTACCCAGCGTCGAACAGTGGCGGCGGTTCAGGGCGGCGGCGTCGGGAGCCCTCCCCGCCCCGACACAACGCGAACGAGCGGCCACGAGGGCGAGAATGGCGGCAACGGGCTATGTACCACCCCCCACGCGAGGGGGGCGCGACGGCGAGCGCCTCACCGCGATGCAGGTGGCGGTGCGAGAGGCGACCAACGCAGCCAGGAAGGCCGCAAAGACGATTACGTGGACGGCCATCGAATGGCGCAAGACGAACGCGCCCGAGTGGAGGGGCGGCGCCGCTGGGGAACAGGACGGAGACGATGACGACGACGTAGACGACGACGACGGCGACGACCGCTCACAGCCGGTGCCAGAGGAGGAGCCTACCGACGACGAGGGGGCAGGAGAGGAGTGGGACCGTCGCATGGGGGGGTCAAGGGCTAGAAGCAGCAGCGACACACGCCAGGCGGAGCAGCCAAGCCCCCCCCCGAGGACCGCCGGCCCGAGGCGCGACACGAGCGGGGGGGCACACAGCGGCGGACAGGGGGATGCCGAGCCTTCGATCAGGGTGGTCGTCGCTGGAAGCCGACGAGCGGAGACGCGCGACACGGGAGCGGACACAGTCCCGCGCCCCTTGCCAGTCAACATCATGAGAGGCACCGGGCTCGGCAACCCATTCCCCATGGGGAAGAGAGGCACCGACGAGGCGCTGCGCGACCAGGTATGCGAGGCATTCGACACGTGGCTCCGGCTGCGCACCGTTCCCGCCTCGGCCGTGGGGGACACTAGATCCACGCCAGCGCTCATCCGACAGGCCAACGGGCAGCCCTTCTCACAGGAGATCGCCCCTCGACGCTCCGACGAAGCCAGGACGGGGAACGACGCCGTCGCGGCGATGCGGGCCGCGCTGAACGGCCGCGGCAACGCCAAGGTGGTGCGGCTCGGATGCTCGCCCTCGTGTCGAGAGGGGAGGCTGTGCCACGGGGACAGCCTCGCAGCCATGGCGCGAGAGCTCATCGGCGTACGAGACGAGCGGCGTAGAGAGGGGCAGCAACGTGGAGACGCCCCAAAACCACGCAAGCCGAGGGCAGACAAAGGGGTGCCGAGAGGCCCGCGAGCCCTCAAAGGCACAAAGGCATACCAGATCGGGCACCTCAGTCTACTGCGGTTTCGGCACGGGCGCGAGAGGCAAGTGTCACAGCGGACCCTCGATGCGGTGCGCGAGGCGCAGGGAGCTGGGGTCGAGCCGTGGAACACGGCAGAGCACGACAAGACAGTCCACGGCCCAACGCCCGAAGGCGGGACGACGAACCCGATGGAGAGCGAGCCGCCAGTGAGTGAGACGTACGACGACGAGGGAGACGACGAGAGAGACGAGAACGCCTCGGCGGACGACGAGATGGCCTTTATCGACGATGAGTTCTTCGAGCTCCCCAACGTAGCAACGGAGGAAGAGGCGGAGGGCGGGGGGAGCCAGAGTCAGTACAGCCAACAGAGTCAGGGGAAAGAGAGCGAGGGGAGCCAGAGCAGCCAAGGCAGCCAACGGGCGCCCAGGAAGGGCCAACGGAACCGAAGAGCCGCACGACGCTTCCTGGACCGACTCCGTTTCGAACTCCTACAAGGAGGCAGCGGCGGGGACGGACACAGACACCCCGAAGACGCCAACGACGGCGACGAAGATGGAGAGAGGAGCGAGGACGAAGAGATGCCCGACCGCACAACAGAGCCAGGGCCGAGCGAGCAACCACCCGAAACGGGCCATCCAAACGAAGGCAGCCAGACAGACGACGAATTCACAGTGATGGACGTAGACGAGGAACAGCCAGAGCACGAGGCGTCCCAGCCGCAGAGGAAGCGGGGGCGATTTGAGAATGAACGTAGCGATTCAATGGGTCAGGCAGAGGGGGCGAGCCAACAGCACACAGAGGACGGGGGGCCGGTGACGTACGGGGAGGAGCGCGCACGCACTGCAGGGGACGAAAGGCACGAAGGCGCCCCCCTGCCGGGGTGGGTGCGAGGAGGCGAGACGCGGGGGGCACAGCTTGGACAGCAGGCGCGCAAGAGACAGAAAGCCAGGGAACAAAGAGGAGGCAAGTAGGGGGGGTGGCTCGTAACTGAGGTTCGCCTTCAGAGACAGCCGCCTCCCCATGTGGTGATTGTTGTTCATAACGATATCCCTACAACCACGATCGATGCGAGGACGCAAGCCCACACCAAACTCGGCCATTCCAACGGCCAGACCGCTCGCTTAAGGCTGATTGGCTAGACGAGCGGTCTACCCCCGACGGGGCGGCCTGGATCAACGGGGGATGACATCCTGCCTCCCGGCACGCCGGGAGGAGGTGGGTGCTCCGCCGCCGGACCCCCCCTCCATCACCCTCGCCCAGGGATCTACAATGCTGTCTTAAGGTCCGACAGGTTCGGCACCGGGCACCGCCTCGGTATACAAAATGCGCCTGCGGGCGGACCCTTACAGATCACAGATCACATAAAAAAAAAAAAGTAAGCCCCCGCCAGCGCCTCGCGGGCGTTCCTTGCCGCAGCACGCGGCCTTCGTCCCAATGAAGGTGCTGGTCGGCGTCACACTCTTCATCGCCCTTTTTACGGGTCTGCTCACGTGGTTGCACGCACAGATGCACGGGCTCTTCAGTCCGCTTCAGTTTGCGCTCGCCGCGTTTTGCGTGCTGAATGCAACTTACTCCAGCGCCAGAGGCGTGCTCCGTCTCCTCGCTTAGGTCCAGGTCCTCCTGTAGGCATGGATCTGCGTGTGCGAGATTGCTCTCTTCCGCCACAGCGCCGCCATCCAGCGCAGGTACGAGGAGCACAGCGCAAAGCTCGGCGAGGGCAAGCTGCCGCCTGTCTTTCTGTTTGAAGACGTCGGGCTGCTCAAGATGCTCTCCGTCTTCGTACCGTCCGAGTACGTCGGCACCGCGATGTGGGCAACGTGAGTCCGCCAGACGCCCGCTGCCGATGCCCATCACAACGCTCGGCGAGCCCGTGGCCCGGCGGCTCGCACAGGTATGCCGCGCTCGACCCAAGCTACGCGGACCAGGCCTCGTTTGGCTTCTGCGTCGACGTGGGAAACGGCTTCACCACGCTGGTGCCGTCGGTCCTCTTCGCAGTCAGCATCACTTCGCCGCTCCTCGACGCGCGCCACCTCGGCATGCTCGGCCTGGTCATGTTTTGGCAGGAGTTTTACGGCACCTGCGTCTACTTCTTCCAGTACTTCTTCAACGGCCGCTTCCGCCGCTCGCCTCGCGCGCATACCCTGGGCATTGTTGTGCCGGCCAATGGTATCTGGATGGCACTGCCCGCGCTCGGCATGTGGGCGTCCGCGAGGCTTGTCCTCGACGGCAGCTACGCGGCCTTTGGCCACGCCACATAGCGGCGAGCGAACCCCCGGTTTATTTCCTGTTACACTCGTTCATTTATTACAAACGCACGTCATTCGTCATTCTCGCACGAAGCCGCTATCGCACTTCCAAACAAGTTTACCCCTGTCTAGCAAGCGAGCGGTCATGCTGAACACGCATTTAGACTTCCGCCCCCTGGAGGCTGGTGAGTGGTGTGGAGTGTGGA